ACGCGGGTCACGAAAGGCAGCAAAAAGAGAACGGGAGGAAGGAGAAGCCATCCCTAAGCGGGCGAAGGGTCAGAAGACGGGCACGCGGATGAAGAAGGCGAGAAAAAAGAAAACGTAGGGTGAGACGTCACTATGATCTGACCGCTGTCTTCCCTTTAGTGAAACCTCGTTCCTGGTTAAATGTGAAATTCCGCCGTTCTATGATCAGCACGTTGAGGTCAAATTTTCCGACAGAGCCGGCCCGGGGTCACACAATGGGTACACCCGAGGATTCCCCACGAATTGGGTGTACACACTTAAACTCCAGATGGAGAGTGCTAATCTTTCGAGTACAACTGATGAGTCTCGAGTACAACTGATGAGTCTCGAGTACGACGAGTTTCGGCTCACAGTCACTTGGTTTCCGACTAGCAGCGAACACGTTACCCGAAAGAACAAGAAGCACAAACAGCGCCGCAACCAAGGGGGCCAAATAGACATTCAGCATCACTGATGCAGGTACAAGATGCTGCGTCCAGCATCTCATCCACCCGATTTCCGTAGCTTCGTTGGCACGGCTTGGAAATCAGGCGCCGTGCCCCCTGCTGCAACAGAAAAAGGTTTTGGTGGCAGGGTTCTCTGCCACTCCGCACACACACACACACACACACGCAGACTCTAGAGATGCAGTTTCAATGGCTTCTTCGCAGCCGAGGTCAAAATAATTTGAATGGGGATTGCAATGAGAACCGACGCAACCCTTGCAACCCCGCATTACAAGCCCCTGTTCGTTCAGGTTCATGACCACGCCTTGCAATCCCAAGCGCTCGCGGTGTTTTGGCTGCAACATGCACCAGCGTCCCACTCACATCCACTAACTCTGCTTTTCTCGCCGCCGCTCTCTGTATGCTGGTGGGACCAAAGAGCACGACAGCACGCGCTGCAGGTGCTCCGCCCCTGCTGCGATTAGCGGTGCCTCTGCAGAATTATTTACACGTCTTGCTTGTTTTTCGGTGATCCTGCGATTCGACACGATAAGGACCAACTTATGCCAACTTGTTGGAAGGTTCATTGCTGAGAATCCCTTCAGCTTGGGCTGAATGTCTTGCTGGAAGTTCAAGTCCTTCTTCCTACCCTCCACGCTAAATTTTGCATCTAAGCAGAACATGAGCTTCTCGCCATTGTCCAGCGGGACAATGAGGAAGTGGTCGAAAATCGAATTGTGATCTGCGGCCATGCTAATGGTCAACAGCTCCTTCTCGCCAGCATCACAACTGAGCTGAGAAAAGTTCACTTCTGCCACATCTGTGCCACCTCTGACCCAACGCACTGCGAGATCTTCCCTCACATTTTTCCTGAGCAGTTCCTGGGCCTTGGTATTGGAGGCCCCGCTTCCAAAGACATGCTGCAGAACGGTATGGCCACCAAGAATCAAGCCCGTGTTGCTTTGTGACAACGCAGCAACTCGCAAAGCTGGCGCGATGCCCGTGAGCTCCTCGAACTGCGTCCACGTAGGTGAGCAAAAATCCGTCAGTATGTCACGAACTTTCCTTTGAGTGCCCTTATCTATCTCAGTTGGAAGTTCGAACTGGCCTGCCGCAATCTGCAAGGGTGGCAGCGAAACAAGGAAATGCCGGTCTTTGGGAAAGACGAAGGCGGCGCCGAGACTCAGGCTGTTCTGCATAAATGCAGTTTTCAGCATCTCAGAGCAGATGGGCACATCCGCAACGGCCGCCTGAACGAGGTCCGCCGTCGTCCGGTACTTGGATGCAAGATTCTCATATTGGCGAAGACAGGACTGGGTGGGGTCCTCGTTCATTCCAAGTTCCTCTTTTGCAGAGGACCAACTGGCTAGCGGCCGCACACAGCCGCCGAAGAGCCCCGGCAATGACACTCCTTCGAAATTGATCTGCGCACCAGGAATCCTGTTCTGGAAAATCTGCTCCATGTCATCCTCTGCTAATACTGGCAGCCTTATATCGCGCAGTCGATTGGCAGAGGGGTTCAAGAAGGACGGTGAAAAAGCACCAACCACAAGACTCATGCGAGTCTTTGACGGCACAATGATCATGGTAACAAGGCCTTCCAGTGCGCTGAAGCTGAACCTCTGCACCTCGTCAAGAATGACGATTAGTTTGGCATCGGTTTGTTCACGATAGTCAGGAAGCTTCCACTGAGGATTTCCCATGTAAGCTCCAACAATTGCTTGGAAGAGTTCCGAATTGCCCTGCACCTCGTTGTCAATGACCCGCGTTGCCCGTATCCCTGCCATGAGCCACAGCCCGCAGTATTTGCTGCATCGGAGCACCTGGCTGCCCATCTTTGCCCTCAAGCTGTCGTCCTCCACGCTGTCAGTCAAAGCTGGGCTCGAATATCCATTGCTGAAAGAGATGTAAGCGACTCTCAAGCCGGGCTCCGCTGCGCAGGTCATCTCGGCACTCCGGATCGCAACCTCCGTCTTCCCAGTGCCAAAGGCGTTGCCAATGCCGAATGCTGTGGTCCGGCCATCATCTGTCCGGGAAGCGTTTGGCAACTCACCCGGGCAAGGCAAGTCTGTTCCAGGCCAAGTGAGCCTCTCGCCTCGCACATACTTCCCAAAGCGTGGTGTCGGGCGTGCCCAATACTCCGCCCCCGCAAACTTCTTAACCAGCTTTTCCACATGCTCCTGCACACTGAGAAGTAGAAAACGGGGGCCCAAGAGGCAACAGAGCATCTTGGAGTTGGGAAAAATGGCGCGCAAGAAAACGAAAGGAGAGACCCTGTTCTTGCAGACCTACCCAAGACTTGCAAACCGACCAACGTCTGCAAAGCTCCTCGCAGGGTTCCCCTACCCAAAGACTCTTGAACATTGGGTAAGTATTCCATGTTGGGCACAAACCTCTAGAAGTCGAATTGTCAGGGCGGCTTTAAACGAGGTCTTCCCTGGGCCCGATCGCCTTCGCCTCCCATGCATCATGAGCAGGAGGGCAAGAAATGGCGGGGAACAGAAACCGAACAAAACCAAACAATGCAGCACTGCCCATAGACACAAAGCTGGGAATGTGTGGCTGGGCTCAACCATCCGTTTCAGGGGGCTGCACACCGAGTCCAACTGCGCCTGCCAAAATGCAGCCAGTTTCCAAAAAAAGGAAGCGCTGGGCTCTGCAAGCGCAATCTGCGGATTTCCCGGTTCTGTGGGTGTGATGAGGGCAGCCTGCCCCACTCAGTGCATTTCCAGGGCTGGGGCCGAAATCAAAACCACACAACACGACCAACGGCACGTCTCAAAGAATGTCAACAATGCAGCCAGCTGGAGTCTATGAAAACAGGAAGCGCTGCAATCTGCGCAAACGCAATCTGCGCAAACGCAACTCAGGATTTCCTGGTTCTGTGGATGGGATCAGGGCAGTCCCACAAACATTTTCGGGGCTGGGGAAATCGAAAACCACACACAACGACCAACTGCACGTCTTCAAAATTGTCGACCGGCAGCAGCGAACGACCTCCCCGAATGGCAAGGAAAGGCAACCATCCGTTCATGGGGGCTCCATACCGAGCCTGCCAAGGACACGAACCGCCGCAATCTGCAAAAATGCTATCTTGGGATTTCCTGGTTCTCTGGATGCGATCAGGGCAGCCCCACCAAAACCATGTGCGGGCCGCGCGGGGAATTTCAGAACCGCACGCAACGATCAGAGTCCCAGAACGCAGCCGGCCGGCGGAAGCGACCGACTCCGCCCGCCTCGGACTCCTTCGTCCGGCCGCTTGCCTTCGCCTCCTTGACCTCCGCCTCCTGCACCTCCTTCTTCGCCTCCTGAACCTCCTTCTTCGCCTCCTGCACCTCCTTCTTCGCCTCCTGGACCTTCCTCTCCGCCTCCTGAACCTCCTTCTTCGCCTCCTGCACCTCCTTCTTCGCCTCCTGGACCTTCCTCTCCGCCTCCTGAACCTCCTTCTTCGCCTCCTGCACCTTTGTCGCATTGCCCGAGTCCTCCGCCGTCTCCAAGACGGTGGCAGCTCGAGCGAGACGCCTCACCGCCATCGCTTCCTGCTCCTGGGCGCTCTCAACCTGCCGCTGGGCGCTCTCAACCTGCCGCTGGGCGCTCTCAACCTGCCGCTGAGCGCTTTCAACCTGCCACTGGGCGCTCTCAACCTGCCGCTGGCCCGTCTTCCGCTGCTGTCGCACCAGGAGCAGGTCCTGCCCAGGCCGACTCCCACGCCGAGCGCTCGAACATGCTCGAACGGACGGCCTCCTCCAATGGCGTTTTGGCTGCTTTGGCCTGAAAAGCACCCACAACAAACGTGCATTTTGAAAATGTCACGAAAGCGCAGCGTTCTGATGCACATGTCCCCCGGGCCTCGGCATTGTTGTCCTGGCAACTGCAATCGTCCAAACTTGCAAGCTTTGGGTCCGAAGGTCCTCTCGTGCCCTGGCACGCAAGGCGACTCCAGCATGCAACCAGCGCTGGCTCGATGCCTCACTAAGCTCGCAGGATGCGAAAAGGGTCAATCTGCTTGCGTTAGTGGACAAATCTGAAGACTGGGCCGGTGCGCCGTTGCGGTCCTCGCATCACAGCACAAGCAGGAACATTCGCAAAGAGGGACTTCACGGTCCTTCCGACCGGGAACTCCTCGCGAAAACTCGTGGGCGGCGGACAGGGACTCCTGAAGCCCGAACGAGTCAGCTGCCAACCCCTCAACGTTCCCAAGACCCAGGCCGTGCTCGGCCACTGCAATGAGCAGCGCCAGCGCATTCCCAGGCTGAGGCACGCACCTTGCAAAACCACACAACAAACAGCGCAGCATATCAGCTTGCGGGCCTTGGCTTTTTATCCTGGCCCTCATCACAGCCATGGCCATTCCTGAACTTCACGGGCCTGCAAGGCCAATCCTACCGCTGGATACGTCGGCAATGTGTGCCCAGTGCCTTCAAGCATTTGATGAGCACTCTTGGGCGGCGGACGACTTCTTGCGTGCCAACATGTCCTTGCTGCTTCGTGTCATGTTGGTCCGCGTGTTCACGACCCTACGCGGCTTGTTTACTAGCACTCTGGTTGCCGCTGGCGCTGCTGGAGCCGTCAAAGACGCCACCTTGCCGATGCCCTTGCACTGGACTGACACTCAAAGCTCCTTTCGCTCCCCGAATGCCCCAAATTGCCTGTACAGTCACAAAGATCAACTATGCTATCTCGCCGCCGGGGGTCAAAAGGTAAGGGTCTGCCAATACACTTCAAGAGCATTGTGAACTTCGCATGGAGGCGGACACTGCTGATTTTTACATGGCTGGCATCCTTCATGGAAGAAGAGCGTGTCCCCGGCCTCGGCACTGTTGTCCTGGCGGCAGCCGGCAAAAGATGCGAACAGGCTTCGGGCCGGAGGAGTCCTCTTGCGCAGCCCCGGCGAGCCGAGCGACTCCGGCATGCAACGGGTGCCGTTTTGCCACCTGAGAGAGCCAAAGTGCAATTTGCTTGCGCCTGCGGGCAACTCTGAGAACTGGGCCGATATGCTGTCCTGGCACTCAGCACGAAACAAGAACATGCAAAGGAGGGACTTCATGCTCCTTCAGCCCAGGAACTCCTCGAGCAAAGTCCTGGGCGGCGGCGACAAGGGACTCCTGAAACCCGAAAACCTTCGAAAAAAATATGTGTCCCAAGACCCAGGCCGTGCTCGGGTGCACGAGCAGCGCCAATGCAATCCCGAGAAGGCAGAGGCACATACCTGGCCGCTGCCTACCGCGGGCACGGTAGCGTCACAAGCTTGCCAGCCTCGGCTTTTGGTCCTGGTCCGCATCATCGCCATGGCTATTCGAAAAGCGCTTGAGCGGCCTGCGATTCCTCAAGCACTGGCACCAGACCCATCGGGCAACCATTGCGAGCTGTTGTTGTGTCAGTGTTGATGAGTACCCTCGAGCCAAGTTTCCAGAGCAAACACAAGATTGACTGGCTTCTTTGGCAACACCAACGCACGGGTTGGATGCTCCTCCTCCTTTTCACTCGCGGCCTGAAGGTCGGTCGGGCCAAGCCTTGCAAGGCTTCGCAGCGTCCATCCTTCAGACTGGCTGACCCACATCCTGCCGCTGCATCAAAGTCCAAGCGAGATACCAAACTGGCCTGCCTGCAAAACAAGCAGCCGAAATCGGCACCGGGCCGCCAGGGGCTGAAGGGCGGGGGTTTCTGGGGTCCCTGGTCCCTGGGATCACTGGGGCCTCTGGGGCCCTAGGGTCCCTACATTCCCTAGGGTCCCTAAGGTCCCTAAGGTCCCTAGGGTCCCTAGAGTCCCTGGGGTCCCTGCACACGTGTGCATCAGACGTCTCGCCAAGGCCCAGAGTGCGCTCATCCCTATCAACGCACGGCGGGTTCAGGGACCTTGGGGACCTTGGGGACCTTAGGGACCTTAGGGACCTTAGGGACCTTAGGGACCTTAACAAACCCTAGCAACCCTGCAAACCCTACCCTAGGGACCCTAGGGACTCCGAGGACTTCAGGGACCCAGCGACCCAGGGACTTCAAGAGATCCTTGGTGGCCCCAAGGGTCTTGGGGCTTGAAGGGATCTTGGCAAGAACTTCACGCCGGGTACCACTCAGCCTGGGTCCCTACATTCCCTAGGGTCCCTAAGCTCCCTAAGGTCCCTAGGGTCCCTAGAGTCCCTGGGGTCCCTGCACACGTGTGCATCAGACGTCTCGCCAAGGCCCCAGAGTGCGCTCATCCCTGTCAACGCACGGCGGGTTCAGGGACCTTGAAAAACCTTGGGGACCTTGGGGACCTTAGGGACCTTAGGGACCTTAGGGACCTTAGGGACCCTAGCAACCCTGCAAACCCTACCCTAGGGACCCTAGGGACTCCGAGGACTTCAGGGACCCAGCGACCCAGGGACTTCAAGAGATCCTTGGTGGCCCCAAGGGTCTTGGGGCTTGAAGGGATCTTGGCAAGAACTTCACGCCGGGTACCACTCAGCCTGGGTCCCTACATTCCCTAGGGTCCCTAAGCTCCCTAAGGTCCCTAGGGTCCCTAGAGTCCCTGGGGTCCCTGCACACGTGTGCATTAGACGTCTCGCCAAGGCCCCAGAGTGCGCTCATCCCTGTCAACGCACGGCGGGTTCAGGGACCTTGAAAAACCTTGGGGACCTTGGGGACCTTAGGGACCCCAGGGACCTTAAAAACCCTAGCAACCCGGCAAACCCTGGCCTAGGGACCCTAGGGACTCCGAGGACTTCAGGGACCCAGCGACCCAGGGACTTCAAGAGATCCTTGGTGGCCCCAAGGATTTTGGGGCTTGAAGGGATCTTGGCAAGAACTTCACGCCGGGTACCACTCAGCCTGGGCATTCTCCAGCATCATAGGGTCATGCAAAAACACAAAATGCCGAAGCACACACACACACACACACACACACACACACACACACACACACACACACACACACACACACACACACACACGCACACATTGCAAATGGGCCACAACACCACAACATCATCTCCCAACTACAAACACGGATGTAGAAAACACCATGTAGAGACATACCAACATAAAGGCACAAAGACATAAAGATATAAAGATATAAAGAGAAAGGTATAAAGATACAAAGATATAAAGATATGAATTTGTAGAAATACAAAGATATAAATATATGAAAATTCATAAAGAAATACAAATACGTAGAGATATGAACATATAAATGTATGAAAATAAATAGATATGAGTACACGAAGATAAATAGATGTATGGCAAGTTGCTCGAATGGAAAAACAACAGAAGCTTTGCCCTTCCGTGCGTCTTTGTGTCCCCTTGCCTGGCAAGCTGCAACCAACCGAAGCTTGAGAGATGACTTCACACTTCACAGGATCTCTTGCCCCCAAGACCCAGGGTTGCTGGGGTCCCTAAGGTCCCTGGGGTCCCTAAGGTCCCTTAGGGTCCCTAAGGTCCCTAGGGTCCGTAAGGTTTCTGGGGTCCCTAAAATCCCTGAAAACGCCGTGTGTTGACAAGATGGATGCACTTTGGGACCCTGGCCAGACGTCTTGATGGAAGGACGTTGTTTCATGGCACCTGCAGCGGACGCACGCGTGCCCAGGAGGGACCCAGGGACCCCAGGGACCCCAGGGACCCCAGGGACCCTAGGGATCGCAGGGACCCTCGGGACGGACCGTCAGGGCTTCACTGGGTCAAAGATAAAGATCAAATGACAATAACCTGCACGGGACCTCTTGGCCATGACAATGGGCCCGGGCGGAACGTGGAGCTCGAGGCGCAAGCTCAAAAGTTCGGAGTGCCTGAGCGCCAGGAAAAAAATACGATTTTGAGGAAACCACGCTGCCTGACTTACAAAAGAAACCTGACAGTACGATTTGACGGGGTTGGGGCAATCGCTCTCAAGGTCAAGGGTTCACCAGGTTGGAGAGACAATACAAAATGCGGGCCTGGCTCAACGAGGTCACGATTTCCAAAGATACACGGGCCTGACGGCGCGGCTTGACGGGGTTGGGAAAAGCACACAAAAAAGCAACGCGAGTCGCGCAAATCCTGGCACGGGACGGGGGGGGGGTGTCCGGGCCTCGCTAGGCCAAAGATCAGGGGGCCTGACAGATTGGCGAGTTGGGACCCAAACCTCAAAGATCAGTTGGCATTGATGGCCATGACAACGGAAGCAGCGAAGGCCCGGGCAGTATGCCTCGATGTCAAAACAAAGCCTGGCACGGGGGAGCGCGAAAACACGACCTTCAAAATCCAGGACCAAACCTGAAACACTGCTCAACGAGTTGACACCAATCCGCACAGGTGCCCAGCCAAAGAGTCCCCAGTAGCACGAATTGGATCCACCTGCAAGCGGCCAACAAAAAGTAACAAAAAGGCAACTCGCGGCGCTGCGAGAAGATCTGCACGTCGAAGTCTGGGCACAGGGCACGTGAGGTCAAGAAAAACTGTGAGTCTGAAACCACGCCTTTGCACCCGCGAGCGGTTCCCTGCCGCCCCGTACCCCAGAGTGTCCCCGATCCGAATCTCGCCTTCACAAGGCTCACGTGTTTGGGGAAGCTCTTTCCAAACACGACCGACAACGTGAAAATCGTGAGAAAAACGCAACACCGGCAACCTGTCATGCAAAATCACGCTCAAAAACCATGCAAAACTGAATTTACGGAAAAACAAACAAAAATGTGTTTTTTCCGGAAATGGCGGCCCTCGAGCCGCTTGAGCCAGGGCCGTCCCTTTGGTCGGACCATTTTGTTGTCCGCCCTATAGGAAAAGGACCGGCAAGCAAAAGTCCAGATGACTACCATCGCCACTAGCTTCGCCCTGGGCGAGGTGCAGACGAGCCTCAAGGGCGCCATCGTCTGGCAGTCCGCGTGGACTCACGTCCTCTGGGAGCCCAGCAGCTTCGGCGAGGACCAAGGACCCAGGCAGAACGCCTGCCTTGCGATGGAAAGGGATTCCGAGGCCTGGGCGGCCTGGGAGGAATTCGAGAAGAGGTGCGTTAACGAGCTGTTTTCGCGGTCGAGCCGCATTTGGGGCGACTACGGCGATGTGAAGGACAGGTGGCAGAGCTGCCTCAAGGAGTCCCGACAGGGATGAAGTGACCGACGGCAGCAAGATCCAAGGTTGGCGGGCTGCGAGTCCCAGGCCCCTCGAGGCCGCCGGGGTCGCGTTCGCTTACGTCTGACATCCACGATAAACAGAACGCAGTTTCGGAAGGGGCAAGAGTCCCCGCCCGTGCCGGGGTTCACCTGCAGGTCGCGGACCTCCACCAGGCCGCATTGCTTGCCCATGATCCAGACCTGCCAAGCCTCGACGCAACAGCGAGGCCCCGGGGCACCCAGGGGACTTAGGGGGCCTAGGCGGACTTAGGGGGCTCCTCGATGACTCGTGCTGGTTGCGCAGCCTCCAGCAGCAGAGGAATTGCATGTTGACCCGCACGGCTGCGCTGATGAGCCTCAGCTTCTGCGAGCTCACCCAGGTGCTGATCTGCATGTGACGGCCTCGGATGAAGAGCGTGTCAAGGGCGCCGTGCGGCTTGTGGAGTTGCGGCGTGTCAGCAAAGTCGTCGATAACTACAAGCACCTGGTACAGTTTCTTCATTTCCAACTTCTTGGACGCTTCCGTGATCTTGCGCTGCTGCTGGATGATGCGCCGCAAGGCGGGCTCATCCCACTCGTCCCAATAAGCCTGCTCACGCTCCGTGTTTTTAACTCCAGGTCCTGCTCGATGTACTTCTTGACGGGGATCCAGCCATCATCGATGTTGACGCTTGGGCTGAAAACGTAGATCCGCTCAAACACGCCCTTGTACTGCTCCAGGATGAGACTGATGAGCGCCACAGTTTTGCCCGACTTGCTGGGCCCAAGGAAGATGCCCGTGCATGGCACCAGGGGCACCACGGGGTCCGAGGCTTGCTTGCTGGTGTACTCAGGCGTGGGGAAAAGCTTGATCTTCCCCATTCGTCCTTTTGCGTTACGCAAGTTCCGGAAGCCGGCAGCTGAAGTATACGCGCTGGCCTATCTGCGGCTGCCCTAACCCAGCAATGCAATCCTGTTGCCGGCGCAGGATTGACGGAGACGCAACCCAAGGCTCACATGCAGCAAATGAGGCCAAGAGAATTCCACCCTTCTGCTCTGAGTTACCGTTGCGCTTAGAAAGCACTTATCATGCTTTTCGAGCCACAAAGCTCCGCAACAGAAACGCACTTACAAGGCCAGAAACAGCGCTTTAAGCCCGGGCAACTTGAACTTCCGAGACGCACAGAATGCGACTAGGACCCGTTTTGCCTGCATATTGAAGCAAGCTGAAAACCCTTGCAGAAGTGCAAGCAGAAGGGCTGCGGCCGCACCGCGCAAAACCACCAAATTTTTGCAGAATCCACATTTGCTGAATAATAACCTCTGAGGATGCGCTATGAGCGGTTTTAGATTTCACAAATAACAGAGAGAGCGCTGCAGTTGCAACTCCCTTCCGATTTTGCGCCCGGCCGACGGCCCGTTAAAGGCTGCCGGCTCTCTCTTTAGAGGATTCTATTCCACCTGGTATGGCCCTCGTCGTCCAGGAAACGACCTCGTCCTGCGAAGGATTTGCAAAATGCCCCGCAGCTGCGTTTCTGCAAGCGAGCTAAAAAACATGGAAAAAAAGCAAACCCAGCCAGAAGCCAGTTAGAAGCCAGCCAGAAGCCAGCCCAGCCACAACCAGCCAGGAGCCAACCAAACCCAGAAGGCCAAGCCAGCAAACCCAGCAGCCAGACAGCCAGGAGCCAACCAACCCAAAGCCAGCCAACAAGCCCAGCCAGAAGCCAGCCAAAAGTACAACCAAAACCCATTCAGAAGAGCCGCCAGGGTTTTCTTTGACTTGCAGAAACAAAGGCAGCTGAAACCCCCTGTAAAGACAGAGGTGCGACAGAGGTGCGATGTTCCATGTTCGCGCTTTCGCGCGGCGCAGTCAGTAGTAAGGAACATAGGCTTATACTACCCTAATTATTTTCGGTTTAAAAACCCTCAAAACAGCCAAATTCTCCATCCTGCTGAACGTTTTTCCGGTCACTGGTCTTTGTCACCGCTCCGTTTTTGGTGCAAAAAGTGCTCAAAACAGCAAACTCCTGTCTTTTCGTGACAGACGGCAAGTGGGTTGCCTCTAGATTCACTCGGTTTGCGCACTTTTTCGGTCCAAAAGAGAGTGGTGACGAAGCGGTGACAAGTGGTGACAAGCTTGGCAGGGTGGAATTTGCCTGCTTTTCCGGGCCGAAAACAGAGGACTTCATTCTTCGCAGGGTTTTCCGTGGCACGACAGCCTGCCGAGGACCTTGCTCGTGACGCGACAGTCTCGCTCGTGACCTGCCGAACTTGTCACCGCCTTCGTCACCGGGCCTGCCGAACGCATTCGTCGCCTAATACGCCAATCTGCCGAACGGCTTCGTCACCAGGTCTAACAACCTGCCGAACCTTTGCAAGTTTGAGTCAATATTGAAACGGTTGAAACAATATTGGTTCATTAATGGGCGGTCAGGTGGGAGTCGAGCCCCGGACCAGGGGTGGTGTGCAGTGAGAAAATCTACATCTTCAGCCCCAGCGTAAACATAGACGACGGCTGGATCCCCGTCAATGAACGGAGAAAGTCCAAGAAGTTGAAACTGTACAGGTGCTTGTGGTCATCGACGACTTTGCTGACACGCCGCGCTGCACAAGGCTCACGGCGCCCTTGACACGACACGCTTTCATCCGAGGCCGACGCATGCAAATGCACCTGGGTGGCTGCCAGACTCATCAGCGCAGCGGTGCGGGTCAATCAGCTTAAGCGCACTGCTGCCGAAGGGCAAGCTGCGCAGGATGTATGAGCAGGCGACAGGGAGCCCTTTAGTTTCCTCTTTGTGTGCTACCTAAAACCGAAGACCGAAATGTTCTACAAGCGCTTCGAAGAGCGTTTTGTAATTGAGAAAGACTCAGATGGGAGCGGCGCTCAGCTTCCTGGGCCAGAAGCTGTTCGGCAGCTCCATGTCTCCTCTGCGTTACAGCCGTCCAGTCCCCCATCATTTGTCGAACGGGTGGCTTCCTAAAGAAAAGGATGACAACTATCTACGTGGACAGCCGTCCAACTTCGCTACTGCCACCACAGCGAGACCACGAACAGCCTGAGCGCCAACCGGCTGATTCTGAAGCGGTGGACTACCCACCTTGCCGGCCGCCTCTCAAGCCTCTTCAGCGTCGACCACATGCTCGGCCCGAGCGTCGTCTCCGTTTATTCTTCAAGTTTGATGCAAGGTCTACCTGCGCCCGCTTCCGTCTGAAGAGCGGCGTGGGCACCATCGTGGAGACCGGGCACTTCATGGCCGTGAGGCTCCGTCACCCTGAGGCTTTCGATCTGGAAGGGCAAGTCGTCCGACTGAGGGACTCGTCCTTGTCGTTTGGCTTTTGATCACGTCTTTCGATCACTCCAATCCCATTAAAAAACCGACAAGCAAGCAAGAGCAAAAAATCGATTCCAGACCTACGCACTGACCCGGCATACCAAGAGCGCCAGGCTTTCTTAATATGCAGGCGAAGGCTCTGATAAGCTTGGGCTCGCAAAGAAAAAAGCCCGCCAAATGCTCGAATGGTCTTAAAAAACCCGCGCAGCCGATGCGTGCGGCATGGCTTCTGGAAAAGCCCCGCGTGGCGGACAGGACACTCCCCTTTGCACCAAAAAAACGAGCGGTGACAATCTTTCCTTCTACTCAAGGCCAGTTTGCAAAGAGGGGCAAAGTACGATTGTTGGCGTCGCACCAGGCCCGCAGGCGCCCATGCCAGCAAAAGCAAAGTTGTAATTCCGAGAAAGTGGCTTTTGCAAGTACGAAAGCTTGGCTCACTAGCAGTTCTCAGGTTAGCAAGAAGCACATTCCTGACGGACCTTCGGTGCTTTGCAAAAAGTTTGCAAAGATGTCTGTGCAAAGATTGCTGTGCATGCAATGAAACAGCAAGGGCCCCCGGGGCAGAGTACAATCGTTGGCAGCTCCTTGCAGCTCAACGACAACAACCAGCTGATTGGTGTCTGAGTCGACATGTACTTAAGCGGAGGTAGGTGGAATCGAGCCCCGGACCAAGACGACGCCGTGGTGAGATGGTATAGGCGTTGGTCTCCGGACCAACGTCAGACAGTCGCCGGGGTTCGATTCCACCCTGGTACACGGATAAGTCTCAAGTCTGCCGACCGATGCCACTAGGCCCAAGGCGGCAAGTGAAAAAAAAAAAAAGAATCGAGCCGGACCAGGAGTGGTGCAGGGACAGGCTCAGCACGGATTGCTCACTCAACCCTGGTTGGGCAGGCTCCCCCGATGCAGCCAGCTTGGCTTGTGCTGGAGTCGGCCTTTCAGGCTCAGGCACGTCGTTATGCTCAGAACAAGCCCGTGTCTTGAACCAGGTTGTGTCAGTTCATGCGTCATCGTAGAAGAGAAAGAGGCGAACGCGTGAGCAGCTTGCCCAGCAGGCTGCGCGCCTTCTTGGTGGTCCGCCGCGCACGCCGGCGATCTTGAAGGCGTCCGGTCAAAGTCCTTCTCCAGCAGAGCGTAGCCCCACAAGGTTGACAGGGCAAAGTAGACATGGGCATGCGTCGTCTCCGCTCCAACCCGCAGCTGCGGAAGGGCGTAGCGCTGGTGCTCGAAGGTGATCTGCGCGTGCGGAGTGCCTGGTGCGCCTCAAGCTCCTTACTCTTGGTCACTGCGCCGGCTCTCTCTATACACAAAGGTTTCTAACTGCCACAATATTGCAGCTACAGACCCAGCAGAGCTCGTCCGCTCAGGAAACGACCTTGTCCTGCGAAGAATTTCAAGTTCAGAATTGCTCCTGCAGCCACGGCGCTGCAACGTAACGCACCCTCGATTTGCTTGCAATTTGCCTTGTAGCCTCACTTCTGCACGCCAACTTTT